ACACCAGACTGTGCTCTTGATCCTACATCCATTGCACTGGAACAAGTTGAACAAACATGTGGATTTATTATTTGGTGAAAATCCTGTAGTGTCCCTTGTGCGTGTGTGGAGCCGTCCAAGCTCTGTTTGTTTTGCTGTGGATTACTTGGATTGTGGGGCCTGTGTTGACTAAGAGCTGAGCTTCAGTCAAGAGCACACACACACACCATAGCCTCCTTCTGGAGGTCGTCATTCAGCACTGATTCATGGTCATTGGTGTTGGAACGGTGGAGGGCTTCGCCTTCCCAAATTTGAGCCCCAAATACATGCATGCTTTCTGGATTCGAATAAATTTGCTTTATTACATACTTTGTATCTTCCATCCATCTGTGATTGTGAGCATGTGAGTAGCTTTTGCAGCTTTACCAGACTGCATCCATGTCCTGCGTCATCACTGAGTGCCATTTCTCTTTGTGCTGAAAGCCAACTATTACACAAAAACACCCTCAGGCACCTTTTTGGATAATTCCACATAACTGTGGAGATGGCAGTCCACTGGAAACAACAAACATCTCATTGTGTTCTGTGTGAAATACTGTGAATAGGTTCACGGTTCAAGAAATATGATTCCACGCTGACCTCACTAACAGATAGACTCATGCTATATGTGTCATTTTGTTAAATAAGACGTTCTGTCATGAAATAAGATTTGAAACCGTGGCATCGTTCGATTGGTCAGAAACCTTGGCAATATGTGTTAGATCGCAAACCTTAACATCTTGTGGATTTTTTCAGTTTTACTAATGCACCTGCTTGGATATTCACCTAACAAACCAACTTTATTCTCCCACTCATCTTTTCATTTCTGCACTGCAAAAACACTGAGAAATGTCCCCAAACTAGGTGATAAATCTCCTCATTTACACTCTTATGGGATTAATTATCTTGTTTCTAGATATGAAACTCACTCATCCCATTATCAGATAAAATGGCTTCCAGCTGGCGTGTATTTATTTGTTTGTTTGGACGGTTGGTTGCTTACTGGATGGGCTCATTTTCCAGTGTATAAGTTTCAGTAACAAGACAAGAAAATATATAATACATTAGTTCATATTATAAAAGGCATGTCTAAATTTTTAGCATCTTTTTTTTTTTTTCTTTTCTTCTGAGTCATTGCAAGAGCTTTGGCTTAGTGTCAGTACTGTTTTATTGTAAGATACACTAATTTGGCTACTGCAAAGTCCCCTAGAGAAATAGTGCCCACTAAAAGCCTAGTTAAGAGACTGCATGCATAAGCGCAGCCATTACTCGTGTTTATCCTGCATGTGCCCTTTTCATAAACAGACTCCAATTTGGACTGATTGGCAGAACACCCATTTAAAGTGTTTATTTATTATTAACCTTGATTTTTCTGTAGAATAGTGTGGAGTTCACAGATTGAGGTTTCCCAAGTATCTCTTTTAAATACAATATTTAAAAAAAAAAATTATGCAGGATACAGGAATCACAAACGTGCTCTAGGCAGCCATCTTCTGCATACAACTGGCCCAAAATTGAGCTTATTAATCATCCCATTTGTCCTTATGGGATTAATTATCTTGTTTGTGCATATTAAATATTACACTTTCTTATCCCATTATCAGATCAAATCGCTTCCAGCCAGCATAATTGTTTGCGAATGGATTTCATGAAAACATACAGAAATATGTAACGCTGGTTCATATTATAATATCCTATGCTCACAGCACTACCTTTTTAAATATTAACCACGTCTTTTTTTCTGTAATTTCCCCGACTCATTTCATTCTAAGTCATTGGGAAAGCTGTGGCTTGCTGTCATGGTAGTTTAATTGTAAGGTCCCCTAAAGAAATAGTGCGCAATAAAAGCCTAGTTAGTGATGGCATATATATGGCATATGTATATATACACTATTACTTCTTAAGCTGTTTCCATGAGCTGACTCCAATTTAAACCGGAGAAAAATGCATTTATTCACTATTCGTCATGAATTGCTTGCAGTTGGGGTAGAGTAGAGTTGCATCTTCAAGGATTGTCAAGCGTAGAGAACATGACTTTCATCTGCCATTATTCTTTCCTGGATCTCATTTTTGCACCGTACAGATTCAATAATAAGAGGAGAATTTATCGAATGTGCCGACTGGCAATCGTTTTCGAATTTCCGTTCCATTTGAAATCGTATAATGTGTCGAGTCTCCTAAGAATCACGAATCATCCACAGATATTACGGGACGTGGTGCTGTCACCCACACCTTTAATTGGTGCCTAAATTAGATGAAATCTGTCACGTTCGCTTAAAGCTAGCCTCAAGATTCATTTGCTCGCATTTTCTGAGCTCATCCAGCTTATCAGTCCAGTACACATCAGCTTGCGTTTTCTAGCTGACTGAAAGACCAGAAAAGGATCTCCTTCAAACGCTCTGACTATGACGTATCGTCAGCCAGATTTTCAGGAAAAATACGAGTGATATTCTTGAATTTCCAACCAATTTACTCATAAGAACAACTACAAGTTTAAGCCATGACTTCCAACGTTATCATTCATTTTTCTTTTTCCACATACTGTACACTAGTCTACCAACCTAGAGCACAGTCCTCTCTTGTACAATCAATTAAGATCATTTAGCGCCGCCCCTTGTTTCCTGTATGATTTACAAAAACTTCCAGGTCTCAAGATAATCGCTTATATTTAATTTTCGAGATAAGAACCTAATTAAAATGCAGCACTTGCTTTGGAGTGTATGGTATATTGACTTTCTGAGATTCTGGAGGATAATGTAGTAGGAGAGTTCAAGCCTTAGCAAAATAGTTTAAATTACGGATAACTGCAATTCTGTGCTGTATTTAAGATGGACAAGTGAAAGACGTTTTATCTGCTTTCCAATTTTTCGATTTACTTCTCACTAAGAGAGCCAAAAGAAGTTGATGAGATCTTACAGTTGTGTGCTTTGGCTCTGATTCCCTAATCTTAGCATCGTACACACTTATATGTCCAAAGTCAGCTTCTAATGGCTGTTGAAAATATGCAGTACTTTATGTATTGTGTTGTATAAGTGTATAAGTGTAGCACAGATTCTCATACTCTCAGAAGTGAGCTCAGATGGCCATTTTATCAAGAAGGAGATGTGTTCAGTTCATGATTCTCTCTTTGATTCTAATACATATAATTAAACTCAATCCCACGGAATACAATTTTTTGAAATCTCAGTACCTGTTGGTTCCGGGTCTGTTTTTCGACTCTCTCTGGAGTTTTTCGTCGCCTATGTTGGCTTTGTCTGACCCATAATGCTCTAGAAATGAAATGATATAAAGAGCTACGCGAATGTAATATTCACATTTTAATTGTATAGCTCTACAGTATATTCGTTATTTTCTATTCTTTCTTTTTTTTATGTGACTACCATAATAATACTGTATATGACTCGGTTTCACTTAAAGATAACCATCAAGCTTACACATTTTTACATGTACATGTAAGAAAATACCTTCAAGCCTTTCATTCCACACTAAGAGGTAATTAAAAGCACACTTTTAGACGAGTACCGGTAGGCAAACTGAAAACGCCACAAGACTAGACGATTTTGAATTTCAAAATAGCATGAAAACAGCATCTGAATGAGAATGAGGTCAAAATGGCTTATTTATACGTTATTAAAGTTACAATACACCAGCATTATACTGTTCATTTATACTTGTAGAAAAATAGAGCCCTTTGCCACAAAGCAGCTTTAAAGAAATCCAAGTCTCGACTTCAAATGAGTGAGTCAGAGTCAGAAATGACAAGGAAACGCCAACGAGACAGCACAAGGAAAAACATCTGGAGATGTGAATCAGTCCTGCTCTGGGTGACACCAGATGCTGAGATTTCCAGATGAAGCTGAGTATGATCATACAGAGGAAAGGTGAACAGTAATGATTGTTTTGAACATACAACATGGTGAAGAATGAGTTTTGTGAACATTATGAGTAAAAGTCTCAATGCGCAGATTGATGAGCCATATAAACACCCACATACTTCTGTCCATACCTGTGTTGCTCCAAGCTGCAACAAAATGTCCGCTTTGTTGGAAAAGCACTTACAAAAGCGATCTCTTTACAAGCCACAAGCCCCCCAGGTCTTAAAGTGCTTTGCGAGAGAGAGAGAGAGAGAGAGTCCAAAGTCAAAATAAAGAGATTGATCAACAGAAGCAAATATCCTATGCAAGTCTTACAGCTTTTAATGGTTTTGTGTTAGTCAGTGTTCACACACAGAGGTGTGTGATATCACGATGTGTCATTGTATGCAGTCGAAGCGACGCGCTTGGCCGTCACATCTCAATGAAATGACCAACACACAGCGCACCCCTTTCTCTCTTTGCTCATTTATTGTTGGCTGGGTGGAGATAAACACTATTGATCAGTTTGGCTGTCTCAGCACTGATGGATGATCGCAAAAGAGGACTTTAAGGCTGCAACGATTAGTTGTCCTTGCCAGCCTCAGAATGTTCCAGAACATCAGCACACTCCATTTGGTCAGTAAGCATGTGTTTGCACATTTGCATCAAAGAAGGCCATTGGGTAAGAGAACTGCTGGAAGAAAATGCAATGTGACTATCCTGTACGTCGTTTTAACCATTTAACAAAGTGGGTATGTTTTCATTCACGGTATATACATGAATATAATAACAATATACATCACACATAAAACATCCATCCATCTATCCATACACTCTTATCCTACACAGGGTCATGGGGAGCCTGGAGCCTATCCCAGCTGACCCATCCCATTTGCAGGACACAATCGCGCACACTCAATCACACATTTCAGACAATGTAGAGACGTCAATCAGTCTACAACACATGTCTTTGGACTGTAGGAGCGGGAAGAAACCTGAGTACCGAGAAGAAACCCCTAAAGCACAGGGAGAACATGCAAGGTCCACACGCAGTTCGGAGGTGGGAATCAAACCCCCAACCCAGAGGTGTGACTCACATGGAGAGAACATGCAAGTTCCATGCACACAGGGTGGAGGCAGGAATCGAACCAACAACCCCGGAGGTGCGAGTGCTAACCACTAAGCCACCGTACCCACCACACATAAAACACGTAACACCTCATTTTCAGATATACCCATTGTCCATTTTATCAGGTTCACCTTCCTCCTTCCCTGGGTAGCACAATTTCTCTACCCTTAATCCCATCCATCCATCCATCTTTAACCGCTTATTCCTTCTTCAGGGTCATGGGGAACCTGGAGCCTATCCCAGGGAGCATGGGGCACAAGACGGGATACACCGTGGACCAGGGTGCTAGTCCATCGGGGGCACGATCACATACACACTCACACACCCATTCATACACTATGGACAATTTAGACACGCCAATCAACCTACCATGCATGTCTTTGGACTGGGGGAGGAAACCAGAGTACCCGGAGGAAACCCTCGCAGCACGGGGAGAACATGCACACTAAGCCACCGTGCGCCCTACCCTTAATCCCATAAGACCATATCTAACCATTTCTTATGGTTGTGGATCATTCTCAGTACAGCACTGACACTGACATGTTAGTGTGTGGCAATGATACAAGTGTTTGTACACATTGTGCACTCACAGACCACCTTAATGATCATCCTCTCAGACTATAGAGAGAGAATATAGCTGTGTTGATCGTCCTCTGGTCCTCATCACTGTTCGCTGGATAGGTTTGGGTTTTAGACCGGTTCCCCAACCAGCATTGATACCGAGGTGTTTAAAATCCCAACAATGATCGAGTCACTACATACCTTTGCTAGATAATAACGTGCTCTAGGGTCTCTAGTGTTGCCAGTCTACAAGGGTCGCCAAGAGTTGATTTGATTCTCTGCATTAAATGGGTGGTCCAGTTATATGAGATTCATTTGTAAAGATGTCAATAGCCTTATACTGTAGCTGTGTAGAAGTAGTGTGGTGTACTCAATTCAAAATACTGCTGTCTTAGCTTACGTTTAAAAGAATTATAGTTCACGAGTTTTGCATTTTCATTAATGAGTATATTTCATTCATTAGTTTATACTCTGATTTAAAATAAAAACGTCCTATCTTTATATATATATATATATATATATATATATATAGAGAGAGAGAGAGAGAGAGAGAGAGAGAGAGAGAGAGAGAGAGGGAAAGAGAGATATTTTTTAAATTACCGACTAATCATAGAGACATTCGTGACGTTTCATATGAGTCGGCTTTTTCTAATTATAATCAGACCGTGTCTAAATGCATCGCAATATTATCAGCACTACTAGTACATCTGGTGCTATTGATTTAGTCCAATTACACATTTCACTTATGTTATGATTGAGTTGTCTTGTGCAATAAATCAAGATAAGGTTTGCATGGCTGTCAGATTAGCTCCTGCATGCAGATCACTGAATGCATCTCCATTAGTGTTGGATGTTAAAGAGGAGACCATGCTGATAGGAGAGGAAGAAGCTGACCTTGTTTGAAACACGCATTTCCTGATACACGCATGCCGCAACGGGCCGTGGGGAGCCGTTCCATCTTCCACTCATTTAAAATCTGCAAACAGCTAGCGTGCTCTTTGTGGCCTCCGTGGGAGACAGTCCACTTATCTAACTCCTTCAGTCCGACAAGCAGATTTTTGTATTTACGTATCCGGGATCTCAAGATTCACTGTCATTTATTTCAAGCTCGTTATTTAGCATGCAGAATCTGAACGTTTCAGCATAAGTAGATTCTGCAATTTCTAGTCATTAAATGCCTGCCCCAGGTGGTGCAAGCATCTGTTAGCATCAAACTCTCTCTCACTCAGTCTGTCGCTATGTCTCTCTGGCTTTTTGGCTTTCTGCGTTCTGTTCTCCTGTACGTCTAGAATAGCTGCAGAACACAACGGCCCGTGTCTGTTTAATGTTGGAGGTTGACTATAGGCTGTAGTAGACAGCAACCGACTCACTGAATGTCGTTGTTAATGGTGAGGATGATTGTGATGGGAGCATTTGTCAGATCTGCCAAAGACATGCACGGCTTTAAAAAAGAAAAAAAAAGTCATCTACAAGTGAAGGATGAAAATAGGAAGTGAATATTGGGAATATTTGCTAACTTTACACCCGTGTATTCCTCTTTTTAGCTCGTCATGTTTTCTGACAAGTCGCAGTGTGTGTGTGTGTGTGTGTGTGTGTGTGTCAGAGAGAGAGAGAGAGAGAGAGAGCAAGAGAGAGAGCGCTATGGTCTAATCCCATTAGAGAAGGATGAAAGAAACAGGCATGACAGAAAAGAAGACTGCGAAATAATGGATAAGGGAGCAGCCAGAATACAAGTGAGGTCTTCCATGCCCTGTCTAATCCAATCAAATCAAATGTGTGAGAGAATGATGTCATATGGCATCTGATGTCATCTGAGGAAGTCAAAAACGAAGACAAAAGCACATATGAATGGGGAACCTTGATTTATAAATAATAATAATAATAATAATAATAATAATAATAATAATAATAATAATAATAAAATAAAAACTTTAATGGCTTGTCTGATCAATTTTGAGAAATTCTGTGTGTGTGTGTGAGTGTGTGTTCAGTCTCAGACCTCTGAGATATTCCACATCAGCACTCGTCTTCACCAGTAAACTGGTTAATGAAATCTGACAAGGCATCTTTCTGTGTGAATCATTAATCATTAAACGTAACTTTAGACAGCCTGAATGTGTGTGTTGGTGCTTTTGCTTGGATTCCAGCTGCATGTCGTCTTATGTATCTCAGTTCTTATGTATGAAAAAATACAGACAGGAAAAAACATGAACTGAACAATTAAGCAGAAATAAACAGACTGAGCAGAATTTATAGACTGTATCGTTCATGAATGTCTCAATGATTGACTTTTATTTCATTCAGAGCAGAGGAACAGGCTTGTATTAGTTAGTTTCTGGTTTATAAAATATTTTGAAGTCTCCTCTGTGATAAAACGGTTACATCAGGACAGCTATGTGTGCTCAGTGAGTCTCATGCAGCTTTCTTTTCACACTTATCGTCTAACAAGCTCCCAGTGATGAGGTGACATGATACAACCCGTAACAACTCGCCAATTAATTGACAAAAAAAACAGTATTATGTTGTAGTTTAGTGGACAGTCTAGAGTGAAGAAAGCACAAGCGAATGACAAAACATCCCGGGGAGATAAATGAGGTAATATGATTTTGTGGCCTCAACATATTTAGCTCATTTATCGTCCTGGTAACAGACATTTCAAGCTGATTTTTATCTACTTGCACTTTTCTTCTCAAGCTGTGGTTTGTGCTGTAAAACCTGTAGACACTCATGCCTGAGCATTTCTGTACCCCTGGTTTAAGCCAGACTGGCAGACATATATGTGGATGTCATTCCGTTACTGGGACATCCATATATCAGGGGGCACGGTGGCTTAGTGGTTAATGATTATGAGTCTTTATTGGTCGCATATACATTACCGCACAGTGAAATTCTTTTCTTTTCACCCCAGCATGTCAGGAAGTTGAGGTCAGAGTGCAGGGTCAGCCATGATAAGGCGCCCCTGGTGGAGAGAGGGTTAAGGCCCTTGCTCAAGCCCCAGTGCTGGGGCTTGAACCCCTGACCTTTTGATCAGTAACCTTTGCAAAACCTTTGCTCAAGCCCCAGTGCTGGGGCTTGAACCCCTGACCTTTTGATCAGTAACCCAGAGCCTTAACTGCCACCACTACGTTAGCACATTTGCCAATCACCTCCAGGGTTGGGGGGTTCGAATCCTCCCTCTACCCTGTGTGGGTGGAGCTTGCATGTTCTCCCCATGCATTTCTCTGGGTACTCTGGTTTCTTCTCCCAGTCCAAAAGACATGCGTTGTAGGCTGATTGGTATTTCCAAATTGTTTGTAGTGCCTGTGTGTGTATGAACAATTGTGCCATGCAGTGTCCTGCCTTATGCTCTTTGTGTAGGATAAATGCTATGGAAAATGGATGGATGGACATCTCTAGTGATGTCATCGTTTATCCATATTGCCTGCACCTTTTTAACAATGGACAATGTGAAAAGATTGAGAAGTCAGGATTTGAATGCTTATTTAATATGAGGAACAAAAACTCAATTCCAGATATGGATTGGACAGATGATAGACGTGACAAAAACCTAATCAGACAGCTCTTAACAATCAAAAATGAACACCAGGAAATGAAAACATAAAACATGGCATCTGAATGGCGGGATGAATGGCGTGTAGAAAAGATAAAACTACGTCAATTCCACATATTAACCTAATGCTGACTTACAGGACTCGAAAGGTCTCATGGCAAAATTCATAAGAATGCTAACAGGCAGTGATGTTTTGTTGAATTTCATATGAATGTTGTTACACGAGTTACACAATGCCATGATGGATTGGTGTCCCAACTAAAGTCTAATCCGATCTTGCTCCCAGCGTTCCTGGGATAAGCTCTGGACCTGCCGTGAACCTGAACGGGATAAACGATCAACTGAATATCAGTTAATGATTGAATTAATAAATATAAGAAAAGCTATAACTACTAACCACGCCCATCAGAGCAGCCCTTATCATCTGTATCTAGTTTGCCTGTGTGAGTTTGTGCTGCACTACTAACAGCATGAACAGATATTACGCTGATTATCTGTTGCTATATCATATTATATAGGTGCTGATGTATTTTCTGCCCTGAACGCAGGCTATTTTTATTGACACTACACAGATCTTGCATTGTTTTACAGCATGACGCCATCTTTCCTTACAGACAGTTAAAACGTGTCGCCGTTGGACTGATCTGAAATGTGTTCCTGAACTTGTTCTGCTTTTTTAAACTTATGACCTCATCTGCTCTGACTGTCTCGATATAACACGAAACTCTGATTTCTCCTTCTGCTCCCTGCCGTCTGTCTCGTCTTTTTGATCTCTTATTCTGCATGAGCGAAAGTGATAGATGCCAAGTTTTCCACTACGCCATCAAATGCCTGTTTGAGTTGTCGAGCCAGTAGGCAGTCTAACACTGCTTTGTCTGTTCTGAGATGTTTGTCTCTGTCATGTGGTTTAAATCTCAGAAGAACTAGTAAATACGCTGGCTTTGTACCGTAGCC